TGCCGTCTGATTCTGTATTTTGCATAAGAGTCTAATCGAAATATGAAGTAGTAAAAAATGATCATGTAGCTTTTTGTTAAATTAAAAAAAAAAAAAAAAAAAAATAAGTGGGCTAGTGTACAGTAAAAATTGACGGTATTCTGTAGCTTTCCAGTGTTTCAATTCTTTTAGAGTTGGTTCCTTGGTTTTCTTGCAAATTCAATTGGTACATAAGGCTTTAAAAACTGGTCATTTAAAAAAAAATTAGTTCATCATTTTTATGAGGTAATCGTGTTTGTAAGGTGCCTCCGCCTATCCTAATAGTAATCATTTTTGGTACTACTCCTAAACACACAAGGGACATAAAGTCTAATGGAATATTTATTAGTCCTATATTTGGAATATTCCTTAAAATGGGATAATCGTTTTGGTAATCGTCATCAGTCAGTTCTTCTTGAGACATAAAAGTTCATATTTCGAATCACAGTTTGAAATGGAACTTAAAGAATATTTGCTAGCGCGAAAATTCGACACAGTCCTTTTTCATAATTAAATACTACTTCATCTTCTGACGAATCCGATAATATACGTTGATTTATTCTGCTGTAAATCCGTCTTTTAGATATCTGAGATAATTTTTTTTAGTTCTGATCATTTTTGTAGAATAAAGGAAACATTTAGAAACTTACTTTTCACACTCTGTCAATGTAACGCTTGCAAGCGTCAGCAAGTCAGTTCGTAACTGAAAGAGAATTTGGAACGACGGCTATTAACGTTTAGCAGAATAGCTGAATTCTGGAAATCAGAAAGTAAGTACGTGTACTTTCCACTTTGTGGGGTTCTTCAAGGATATCACTATTACGGAGCAATTAAAACCGTTGGGGGTGTTCTGCGTACTTTGTTGTGAAGGGATGTGAAGGGATGTTTCCCTTGTAGGGGGATACAAAAGAAGGGAAGGTTTGACACATAAATCTGCCACGTTAACAAAAGAGAAATCTTCTTGGGGCATCGGCTACAGAAAAAGTGCTCAGAGGTGTTACATTCTGAGCGGAGCTCGGTTTCTCAAAAGCAAAGAAAATTTGAGAAGCAGTTTTACGGACAATGATAATGATGGAAATAAAACTTTAAGATTTTCAACTTCAATTGTTATTTATAGTATAAAATAAAGTAATAAAACTGCTGAGTTTAAAGAACGCGTTTTAATTTAAAAATTAAATCATTTTAATTTAAAGTTTGAACATCTATTTAATCCGTTATCTAATTTTGAGTTTTCATAACAACATTTAACTTTGTGTTATATACCTTGAAGAAACGTGTTTACTGCATTTTCTGGATGTTACAAATAAATTAATAAAGCAGCAATTATTGTTAAATTATGAGGAGTCATGTAGCATTGTCGGCATAACGTATAAGACTGCAGAGCGCTGGATATATTTTTTTCGCGCTTTGTTTAGCAAAGACCGAATATTTGTATGGTTAAAGAGGTAGCAAAGTGAGGTTTGAGGAGAGTAAGAACTTAATGTTAGTTCTTCCCATTCTCAAACCTTATTTTCCTATTACAGAGAGGTAAAAAATAAGTTACTTCTTACCTCAGTCGCTTTGAAAGACTAATTCTCATTATTAAAGAACTTACCAGAAAATGAACGAAGAAACTGCAATGAATTTTTTAGCCCAATAAAAATTATTCTTCTGTTTATAAATTCAAATTAAAGCAGGTTAAACCTCGTACAGACTAGTTTTTAACTGCGTCTGTAAACTAAAATTTCGTTTGTTAAAAAAAAAAAAAAAAAAAAAATTGTTACTTATTACTGCACAGCACTAAACATCATTCATTACTAATATAATAGTGTAACAGATCAAAAAGTATTTTTTTCTTTTGCAGTTTCAAAGTATAGTTATTTCTATGCTAAGAACTATCGATGAATTTAATAGAATACTTTTATAACTTGATATTTCTGATTAGTGCCTCAGAGACGGGTAAGTGATTATAGTGACTGATTGCCGTACAGAAGGGCTCAAGTTCGAATGCCATATAAGGCATGGATGCACATCATGCCCATCTGTTCATAGGATAAATGTCTTCGTAAAAGATTTTCTGAGTTAACCTGTAACGTACATAATATTTGTGTTCAAAGATATTAGAAAAGTATCTAAAATAATGTTTACAAAATATATTATGTAGCAATTAGAATTTAATCGTAAACACACTTTCAATATGAAACTCAAAACGGATGAAAACACGTGCCTATAATTTGTAAGAAAGTACTCTGATCAATAGGCACTGTGAAACAACAACAAAAATTTGAAAATATTATTACTTAATACTTACAGCCAAAATATACAAGACGAAACCAGTGTAAGCATAACAATTAAATTTTCATATGCAGAATAGGTAATCCATAGAGTAAGATTTCGATTCTTATAACATAACTTGTGTGTGGTACAAGGTTACTTTAATATTTTCAGATATGAGCTTCCATAAAAAGTAAGTACCGAAGATATCTGAGAAACAACATCCTCAGGAGATCTTCACATATCCCGGGACATTACGACTTGAACAGGACATCCTTAAGATGTTGATTTACGAACTCCTCAGGATATCTGAAAATTAACATCCTGAGGAGATAGATCTTCATATATCCCGGGACATTGAGACTTGAATAGGATATCCTCAGGATGTTGACTTAAGAAGTCCTCAGGATATCTGAGAATCAACATCCTTAGGATATCCTAACTGCTTCCCGGGACATTGCGACTTAAATAGGATATCCTGAGGATGTCTTGTGTTATGGGGGTTCGCAGCATATTTTCTTGACTAAAGTCCCACTATTACAAAGCTGAAGTCATTTGGCTAATGTGGCTTGTAAACACCTTTTTTATTCTTATGACTATGCAGTATTAATATTTTTAATGCCATTAATATGCACATACATTTTTACAAATTTCATAATGATTTGTATCACCACTGTAAACACTATGTAGCAGCATTAATATAAATTCATCATTAGCGTAACGCCAATGTATTAGAACTTCAAAGGAGTATTTTAATAACATCGTAAAAGGCATATACATATGTGTGTGCGTGTATACTGATGCATGTATCGATTCTGTAGAGAGGTAAGTTTTAAACCATTGTTTATATGGCTTATTCGGTCTACTGTGTTACACTGTACAACTATATAATCATATACTTTACAGATTGTTTTTATAAAAGTATTGCAACAACGTGTATATGTAACTGCATTTGTACGATTCTCAGTTACGAAGTTATCCGAACCCTGAGAAAAACAATTCCTTTTTAACTAAAAGCATTATCCCCTTGTTGCTTGTACCGGCATAATAGATTTTACTATCATTTTCCAAGGTGGAGTGAAATGTCAAATTTGATGTCCCTGTAGACTTAACCATTTATCTATTTCAAGCGTCTTTATATTAAGTACAGTTTTTCCCTACCCTTTTCTTTTTATTGTGTTGCTTTGGAATTGTGTTGCTTTGGAAATTTGTTCTATATTTCCACACGATTTCTTTGAAGTGGCAAAGCAAGTAGAATTGGAGTTAGCGCCGGAGGGCTTCGAGACGAGGTCTAATCTGCATCGAAACTGATTAATTATTACGAAATTCTGTATAGTTCGAATACTTCTTGATGATAAGGAGTTACTTTAGAAGTAAATGAAATATAAGGACATTGTCATATTTCAGATTATTTTATATATTAAAAATACTACGAGTTGAATCCCATACATTTTTATTACTGTTTAGAATTAGTAATGATGTTTCTAAAATCATTTTTAATATACACATTTTTAATACTCATCAAACAAATGGTATGAGGAAAAAGTATATAGTGAGAATTATTAAAAGGAAGGACTGATGTAGAGTCTAATATTAATTCTGTAATTAATTTTAATTTATTTTAAATATTAGATGTATAGTTGGTTGATATTACATATAGTTTTTGCTTGCTTACAGGTAGTAATGATGTTTCTGAAAAGCTCCTTTAAGTCTGCATAGAAAAAAATTACATCCTCGAGAAAATATAAATTGTATATATGGGAAAAATATATATATTACGGAAAGATGGTTTGGTTCATCTGAATATCGCAAAGCATTATAAGGCTATCCGCGTAAGGTAAGGGATACCTTCGTGGAGAATATTCGAATGGAAACTGGCTCGTATATGTTACTCATGGAGAAATCCAAGTAAACGTGCATGCAGCCAGCCCGTTAGCAGAGATTCGACACTTCGAGCGAGTTACCAGTGTTCAGCGACTTTAACCAACACCTCCTAACAGAAGACCTCTCCAACCTTTAACCATCACCTCCTTTTCTGTTAGAAAGTGTTGCTTTAGCGCTCGGTCACTACTGGGCTGTTTGGAAAGTGGGACTGTGAGAAATTATGAGAGTTTTCGCATTGCATATATTACTGTTTAATACTATTTGAAAAAATATTGGAACTTCGGAAAAGTTTTCTAAACTTGAATAATTTATATGCAAAAATGAATTAAATTAATAACACTTATGCAGAGTGATAGAAAAAAGGAGGAAGAATTAAGTTATTAATAATATGTACAGAATATAAAGGAGATATGTAATATTTAATTATGTAATATTTAATTATATCAAGCCCATAATAAAAAATAAAATCTAAGAATTTTATTACTTGCTTTTATGTCAGATAGTTTAGTATATTTCATTGAAAAAAGTAAAAGAATATTTAAAGGAACCGTGCATCAAAATTAGAAAAAGCAAAAACTAAATCAGGACAAAAAAAAAATATATTTCTTAAAAAGCATTGAAAAATGTATATATAAAAGAATTTAACTTAGTATTAAAAATTTTATTATGTGAAATCATCTGTACTGATTTTTTTAAGTGAAATCATTTTGACATTTTTGCTTTTCAAATCTTTTTAAACTATTTAAATAATTATAAAATTTAATTTAAAATAAAAGTCTTATTGAAAAGATGTCTTATTGAATTTGTCTTATTGAAAATCTTATTCTATTCGTCTTATTGAAAAGGCGGTGTCAGAAATCACCCAACGACAGTTGGTTTCTGCCTGGCGAAAGCTGTGTCCATCCCTCGCTCAAGGAGCCGGAGGTGATCAGGGTGACACCTCTGAAATTATGGATGAAATTATAACAACTGCGAGAGATCTGGGATTGGAGAGGAACGAGGATGACATTGAAGAGCTCATAATGGAACATGAAGGTGACTTGATGGCAGAAGAACTCCGAGAAATCTTGAAGGAAAAACACAAAGAAACTCAGCGAAATGTGTTTCCTTCTGAAAAAGAGGAAGACGAAAGAGGAGCAATGCATTTGCCATTAAAGATCTTTTAAAGAAGTGGGAGGATGTCAGAGCAACGGTCTTAAAATGGCACCCAAACCAAGCTGATATCAATAGGGTTGGTGATCTCTACGACGACATTGCTATCAATCATTTCCTGAAAGTCCTGAAAGAGAGAGAAAAACAATCGACATTGGACATGATCTTTAACACCCAAAGAAAGGAAAAGGACTGATTAAACTGAGCGCCGCCTGAGATAACCACTGACCTGACTTTGTTGTAAAAGTCTTACAGTGTTAATAGTCATCCTGGCAGAAGGGAATATTTCCTCCGTGTAAAAATATAAATAGAAATATTACATGGGCATACAATGCCTGTGTATAAGCATAGATATTTTGATTACAAACATTGTCTTGTACAAGTTACATATGAATATGTATGTATTATATCTGTAATAAATAAACTTACTAAGAAATTATACTTATATATGACATTTTTTTAAATTTAATTTTTCGGATCTCCAGAACGAATTAATCGCTTTCCCATTAACATATATGGTAAATCGGTGATCGGTTAACGAACAATTCGGATAGCGAATATAATCTTGGAACGGATTATTTTCGTTAACCGATCACCCACTGTATTTGAAAATAAAAAATAAAAGCCTTTATAGATGCTTACTTTTTCTCTAAAGTACTTATTTTTTGTTTTTAGTGCTTATTTTTGGCTTTTAGCGCTTTTTTTTTTTTTTTTAAACGAACGCACGTTTTTCCTCGTACCAAAGCCGAAACTAAATAAACAACTTTTCTTCCTTATATGGAACGTCAGATGGTAAATCATACTCCCAGAAATAGCTTTTCGCCCCTTTCTCTGCATTAACGTAACCTTTGGCGCGCGCAAGAACAGACAGGTGCACGTCGCTCTGTTGGTCAAAGAATTGCGAAAGCGGTAGAAAATTCCGATACATTCCGTATTCTTTTGCTCCCACCCAATACTGCACACGTTCGAATTTCTATCAAGATTTTAATAATTCAAATAATTACGAAACTTTTACAATATTTCGCGGCGCCTCTGTGAACTGTTGCTACAGTTTTGGGTACCACTGAACTAATTCATCTAATTAAACAACTGTGATTGAATTAAAGCGATTTAAAAGCAATACATGAAGTTCTTCTCCTCTCTTATTATAAATTATAAATTGGATCCAATAAATGATACTGGCTGGATTCATTATATACCTATTCTTTTTTAAGCGGCTAGTTATTTAAAATTTTCAGCATTTAAAAACTATATGTTTTAAAATTTTTTGAAATTTTCAGTTCTAAACTAAACTTTTCGTCCTCTTTTAAAACAAAGATGATAAAAGTATAATTTGGGTGATTTTTCCTACATTTTTTGAAAGAGATGCTGCGCATGATTTTAAAGCAAAGGGCAAATTTTGCTTCTTCCTTTCACTCATATGATTTTTTAAAATTGCGATATTTCTCTAATATTTTTTATTTAATTCCCTTCGCTTGCTAGAAAGAATTACTTGCAAAGAAATTAAAGTTTATTGTAAACTAGCAGCTTCGCTGCCAGCCATCGTCTGGCTTTCAAATGTACCGGAAAAATGGCTGAAGGGAACACCAAAATTTAAAACTGCGTAGAATTTTACTCTGCAGAACAACTTCATAAAAAAAAGTTATTACGTATAACAAAATTACAATGAAATAAGCAATATCCCTTAATACCAATATTAATTATCTTAATAAATCAATTAACCAACTTTTCTTTGCAAAATCTTAAGAACTCAAATGGTATAAAGGAGGTTAAGAATTTTATTTCCTAAAAAAATCACTCAAAACTTTTCAATATCTTAAAAACAGTGAAATGAGCAATAAAAGAATACAAAAAACAAAAATTTCTGAAAAGCAAAGTATAATTAGTGATATTTTATCTTATATTTTCAAGAGAAAAAAATTACAATGAAATAAGCTATATCCCTTAATATAAATATTAATTATCCTAATAAAAAAATCAAACAACTTTACGTTGAAGAAAACAATCATGCAAAACTTTTCATTATCTTACAAACAGTAAAATAAGCAAAAAATAACGTAAAAACAACTCATAAAACATAAAATTCCGCGTGAGGACTTTGGCGAACGCAGTTTTCTCCAATCCGTGAGGATATGCCAATATCTTAAAAACAGTGACATAAGAAATACGATGAAAAATTGTTGCCAACCCCATATTTCTAAAAGAGTGAAACTATTTAAAATGATGCGAAAATGATTAATTTCTGAGTTTTTATAAATTTTTGGAGGGTTTATTTTCCGTATCGGACAATAGATGGCGACACATTTGCTATTGCTTCTTTCAAGTATGTAAGTATGTGATTTTGCTGCAAACTCTTACATTGAACTTTTTATACACTTTTTTAATGCTTTGCACTAACTGAGGTCAAAATGTAAGGGGCATTATGTGCGAAGTACCTGTCTTACGAGTTTAATCGGGTACTCAAGAAAGGGCTAAGCGGAAATCTTGAAAATAATCAATTTGTATCTAGGTGTTAACGTATGGTGAAGATCAACCTATCTGGTTTTATTCTTAAAAACGTTATATAAGTGAAAATACTAAGTAAAGTTTGTGTTTCAAAATTCCCTTCACAGAGAATTTGATTGCTCAAACTTAGAAAATAGTTAAAAAAAAATCTTGTAATTCCTATTCGTAAGTAGAATTGTTAATAGATTTTTTCGAATTAATTGCATGCTTAGCTGATGTGTGATTATTTTTCAAAAATTATGAAGCTGTTAGTTAAGAAATCGCCGGCATACATTCTTGACCTCCCTGATATTATGAAAGACACTCCTTTATATAAAGCTTGTAGATGCAACCGTCCAGAGGTTGTCCAATTTGTGTTGTCACAAGACAGTAGTGTTCTTGTAAAAGACTTCCAGCTAGATGGTCCTCTACTGAATGCTGCATCTAACATCGCAAAATATGCAACACCAATAGCATCTCTGCTTTTAGACGCTGGTGCAGACGTAAGTAATCAAATCAAATCTGCTTTTGAATTGTAAATATTTAGTATTCATTTTTAAACAATATCTACCTTTTCTGGAGATTACTAATCAATTCAGATTTATATTTTGACATGTAAAACAAATAACAATCGGAGCAAGTATAGCCCATTTCTTCTTACTAACAAATTAAAAATATATTTCTTAAAAAAAGATGCATAGTTGTATTTCAGCATTTAATGAATTTCTGTTTTTAGGATGAACTGTAGGAACTAATGAAACTAATTTTAAAAGTTAAAAGTAGAGCTATTAAATATGTGGAACCAGCGATTGGATATAGTTCCACATATTTTTCTATTCAGGTCATTTGCGTGAGGTTCTTGTGTACAGAAGGAGGAAAAATGCTTACTTCATAAAGCATAATTCACTAACAACTATATCATCTTTTAACCATTAATTAGTGCTTTTATTGTTACAGGAATTTATTATGTGCTGGGCTACATAGCATTATCTAAACAGAACGTTATTTAATCCCAGAATGTACTTCGCAATTGCGAAATTTAAAATCTGACAAGTGCTGTTATCTACTGGAATGAAAGGAAAGATTTCCTGCAAATACCATTAATTTTAATGAATTAGACGTGTCAGACTCATATTATACACAGTGTAGAATTTACGTATAAACTACACAAAATATAGATTGGGGCATCCCAAAAAATTAAAATATAGTATAAATATAGTGTTAAAATATAGTATGGCGGTTCTCAAACTTTTGACTAATGCTTTTGATATCGAAATAAAAATTGAAAATCTTTAGTACCACTACTACATTTTACAATGATTATATTTCAATTTCTCAATAGAAATATTAAGAAAAAGTGTATTTTGACATTTGCACAACCTATTAGCTATATTAAATGTGCACACATGAAAATAATATTAAATTAAAAATTGGTTACCATTTTAATTATCAAAATTTAGGTTATAATACCTTAATTCTAAAATTTAATGTGAAATTTGGGCCTGTTTAAGTGAAATCAATTTCTTTATAGTTATTAGGTCTTATTTCACTTAACTTTAACCGCAAATTAGGATCTTTTTTAATTTTGTTCTGTATTTCTTTTTCAAATAAAACATGGAAGAAAATACTTGTTCACACAAATAGGTTCTGCTAAAAGACGATACAAATTTAATAGCTTTATATGAAACTCATTTAAATTCCTTTTTGGGTTCAGCCAAAATTTAAAAAGCGTGTTATTTTTGAAATTTTCAGTTAGAATTCGATGACAGGAAATTTCTATCAATTTTCTCTTTTTCTCCACGAGAATTTAGAATTGAATAGTTAAAAATACTTTGTTTCTTTGCGTAGTATAACAGATATAAAGGGCACCATATCTCAAATAGTTTAGCAAGTCTAAATCCGGCTCTGGTTATACAAGTTTGTCATAAAATTCTATAGGGCAAAGAATATGCAGAAAAAATACTTTACAGCATCATCTTGGTTATTCTGAATATATTTATGCCGTTATTATTTTGTAAATCTTACATAAAGCTGAGGAGAGTATATACGTCCCTTTACGTCCTAACGAAATTCTAGTCAAATTATTATTGGGTGAATCCATTTTAGAGAAGTGGCTAGGCCAAGGAATTGGAACATGAATTCTTGACCTTTATCTACATTCCAGAAAGGATTCTTAAACAAGAGAATTTAATTTTTAATTTTTTAAACTTAAGTGATAGTTATCTTTATGAATTTAATTGTTTATACACTTCTAATAATATGCAATAACATTAAGGGAAAAATAGTAAATTAAGAGGGATTTTTCTTGAGAAAATTATTAACAGTTAATTTATTGAGTTAATTTTTTTTCTAAAAACAAAGTACTTTAATTACATGACTTTTAATTAAAAATATATTGATGCTGATAACATGATCTGTTCTTAGTTTGTTTGACATAAAAGTGAGGTTTAATGTTAACATAATTAATTATGTATACAAACATCTAAAGAAATGAATGCAGCTTCTCAGAAATTAAACTTTTTTAAAATTT